GACAACCTTTGACACACGGCCACAATCGCCGGCTAAAATTGAGGCTCCTCCTGTCCAGCTGCAGTGACTCACGGCTTCCCTCACAAAATTTCATCAACTCACGCGCGTCGGGCGTCCTGGCTTGATACCTGTGAGCCCATGTGAGTATACACTTCCCCGTTTCTACCCTAATCTGTCCAATCACACTACAACAATCGGCCAGTCCCTCCCTCCTGCTGACACGGGCATGTACGCCGCATAAACATACACACCGCGACTGATGCGCTCCCGAACGGACACTTTTCTCCGTCACAAATAGACAGCCTATTCTCGACAACTTGCCGTGTCTACAGAATATACCGATTCTCACAGCCCCCAGACTTCTGATATTAGATGGAACAAAATGATTGTGTGTGTTTTATGTTGATATCACACCCTCGACCGCAACAGCATTACTCCCAGCCCAATTTATCCCATAAAACCACACTATTGTAATGGGCTTCCCCCAAGGATGAGGCAGGCATTTGCCTGCAAGACTTTCCCCTGGTTCGGACCGGTTTTTTCTTTCAAGCCACTATGATTATTGACAGTGGTGTCAATTTCTTCTTGCGTTAGTGCTAGGAAGGTCATTTCAGAAACCATTTTCCTGTATTTTGACTTTTGGGGGAATGTTAGGTTTTTACTACCTGAATGGGATTTTTCAGCGTTATCCTAACGGATAGCGATTCAAAAGGATACTTTCTGTGTGTGTTTTTCCAAGACATCGCGTGCGACAAGCCTGGTACAGTAAAATCTCATTTATAGATGTTTTTGCAGATTTTGAATAATTCGTATTGACCCAACTGTGAAAAGCTCGGCGACTTGAGCTACAGGCCCCGCCGGACGACGCGATTTTGATTACAGTTGGGTCAAGTTACCCGCCTCGCGTCGTCCGGCGGGGCCTCGTAGCTCATGTGGTTGGAGCGTTTGCTGTACTAAATCCTTCCCCCTACTGCGTGGGTTCGAATTCCACCAGGCGCCAAGTTTTTCACAGTTGGGTCAATATGAATAAAATCTCATTATAAATATGAAATATACTAAAAAATAGAAAAGAATTATCGTGTTTCCAACCGCCTCGTACAAGGTTTTGGTGGTGAGCACATTTAGACGCACGATCTCAGTTTATGCGGACGACAGAAGTCTAAGGATATATCCTTTGTCCGGTTCCATATTAAGGCAGTGAATTTCGGCTAAAATGTCTAAATAAGTCTCCTTATGTCAGGACTCCTGAGCCACAGCTCATATTTCGTATGAGTATTGAAGCCCGCAGTGGTCCTAAAAGTTACCTGTTATCAGTAACAATCGCTGAAGTGTACGTTTTCTCATCATCTGGTTAACTGGAGTACCAACTGTGCGTGAATGTCCATCTGTCAATGCGTAGGTTTTATAATGTCGGAGTTTAACCTATAAATACACTCTTCATACGCTGTAGCGAATGGTGCGAGTATTTCGGAACAGTATATCCCACAGGTGTTGGTCTTAAGACGTAGTTAGCAGAACATCCGAAACACTATTCTGCAGTAAACCAAAAGCAGGTTTAAGCAGAGTTATCGTGTCAGTTAGTTTTGATATGTGGATTTGGAGGAAAGGTGAATTCTCTCTTAGCTTTGTAACCACATCTGAATATTTCCGCATATCTTAACGTCTAGTCATTTACAAATACGAGAAGTTCGCGTCCACGTTACGCTTGTGAAAGTTGGCTTGCTGGACTTTCCGTTCCGACTTGGCCGAACCCCTTCTACTATTACCACCGTCCGTGGACGCCATAAGTCATGCGCCGCTGTGCGGCTGCTGATTGGGCTCGAGAGATAGCCCGTAAGGCACAACGGAACGAGTGAGGTCCGTAAGGACGATCGGTGACACCCACTACCATTATAAGTCCCAATTTTAAACTGTACGTTAATGTTAGCATGAACATTGTGTTAACAATTATTGTAATATTAGATTAGAAGGAATATATTAAACGCCATAGGAAGGGTTTAAGGGATATAAGTGAACAAAGTTGCATTTCGTAATGTCACATCTTCAAATCGTTCAAGTAGTAAAATTTTCCATCGCATTATAAGGGTTTTATGTAATATCCCGTTGAAAACCATACGACAGTTCGACCATCGATTTCGCTTATGTCCACCGTGTGCCCCACAGCTGCAGCTGCAACGGTGGGAGCAGGGACGGCGACTTGCGTAGGGGCTTACAGTGCGGGTAGACATGCGATGCATCTACCTACACACTCTCCTCCTCCCACGACTGGGCCCGGTGTCAAGATAGAGTTAAGAAGACCGGAGACGAGGAAGGCCGCAGGTGAATGGCTCGGACGGATCCTCACATTGGCGTTCCACCACACCCCATGGCCCATAGAAAAAATGACCAGGATTTCAACCAACACAACAGAGATTTGAAGGCTGGCACGGCCGAAGCCGCACCTGGGCGTGCCGCCAACGCCTGGCTCGGATCCCACGCTGTGATGGGAATGCCAAAAAGGCCACATTAAAAAGGAGCCATTGCAGCCTGACTCTCAGACCGCCTCCAGTCAAGGAGGATGTCCAAGGTACCCCGTCAGTTGGCAACCTTCCAAGACACGGCTTTTAGCGCACCGTGATAGCTTCAAGCGCGTCAGTTTGCTTATACTGAGGAAAATGCGCTAAGTCGTCGACCTCACTCTCCCTTCCCACTCCCACACCCCAGCCGCTGTCCGAGCCGGTCAGCAGACTGGAGTGGAAATGGGCGCGGTGGCTGACACGGTCGACTGACCATGCCTGCGTGCGCCACAGCACGACCTGGCCCCC